AAGAACTTAACCAAATTGTGGAAACAGGTTCTTTTTTTCCTCGTCCTCAGGCATCTGCTTCAACATGGATCCATATATGTCGGACTTAATGCTGGCTTCAGTGGCCTGATAGCAAACAGTCTTTACCGGCGCATCCTACATGTGACAAAAGCTCGGATGGCTTCTAGCTTCCCAATGGCCTTGATGCCATTTATGACAGCGAGCATGACTTTCACAGGTTTTGTGAGTTTACCTTTGAGTTCAGGTATGCTTTATTTGTTATCCCTCGTTTGCCTTAGTACACCTATCCTAGTACCAAAATATTAATACTGAACAGCTGTAGGCTATAATGCAGTCCTCAGGGAAGGCTGAATCTTGCTGTCTTGTTACACAACTGATCCTGCCAACCAAGCAGAGTATGTGTACAATGGTCATAATTCCCTGATCTGAAGCAGCTCATTTCCACATTGTATGAAGTTCTCTCAAGGAAAGTATGTTGTGGGAATACAACTGTCATCTCTTGAAGCACTGTGTGTATTTAGCAGAAAAAAAAAAAGCTTCCTTAAAACTGCCATGTACCCTGAGTATTCCATGTGTGTATGGGATTGTTCTGAATGAAAAAAAAAAATACCATCATAAGGGCCAAGGAAGGCATTTTTATGTTTTATTTTGTTAATACTGATTCAAATTTCTAAGAATCCCGATGGAATCGAGCTATTTTCCTGCTTATGGGTATTTCCCACCCAACGCCTTAAACACGCTAAGCATGTCCTCATACCAGAGCTACATTCTAACCTTTGAGCATGACTTGCAAGATCTTTTCTGCTGTGTCAATGAAAACAGAATGCAAACCTTCTGCTCTTTAAGTCACGTTTGCTTAAACATCCTGAGCATCACTTTGCTAATTCCTCTCCCAGGTGACTTGAACTGTGAGACCTGTGCCATGACCCGGGGCGCACTGATCGGTTTTGGTATGGGTGGTGTATACCCTATCCTTTTCGCTATACCTGTGAACGGAGGCCTTGCTTCCAGGTAGGATGGTTTCTACTTTAAAAACTTTTATTTACATGACCACCTAAGGAACTCAGAACCAAAAATGTATTGTCGTGTTGAGTCATTTAGACCAGAGGCAGTGTTTCCCTTCTCAGGAGTTTTAAATCCGTCCTCTGTCATGCTGTATCTCTACAGTTCATTCCACTAGTCTTCAGCATATTCAATCCTTGCTACAAAACAAACCAGTCTGGGTGCTATAGGTCCAGCATTAACAGCTGTTCATATAAAATATTCTAAGAGTTTCCATACATGTCCTAAAGGAAAATGCTGTCGCAAACTGCTACCTGTAAGCCTTCCACATCAAAATCACTCGTTATTCTCTGAACTCTTGGAGCTGTCTATTTTGTGCACCTCCAGAGGGGAACTAAAAAGGCACAAGAAACCAGAATCATTTTTAAGACTGAAGAGAAGGGATTAATGAAAATGACTATGAAAACCATTGCTGCCAACAGTGAATATATGCCAATAAAAAAGGAAGACTCCCATTGTCTTTTAGATACTTTTCCCTTAAGATTACTTTGAGACTTATAAAGACGTACATGTCTGATGATCAATATGTTTTCTTACAGGTATCAATCAAGCCCTATGCCACAGAAAGGAAACTTCTTAAATTACTGGATTACAGTTTCTAAGCCTGTCTGTAGAAAGATGTTATTTCCCATTATACTTCAGACTGTGTTTGCAGCATACCTTGGGGGCAAACAATATAATCTCCTCATAAAGGCCCTTCAGCTACCTGAACCTGGCTCAGAAATTCATTGACTTGAAGCAAATATGTACAACAAAAATAAAATAATCTGTTTCTTATATTAAAAATACAGACTTGTAATTTTTTACAAGATACAACTCTGACCTGCAAGGAAAGACTGCAGAGCAACACAAGCTAGCGGCAGATGCTTGTTTCGGCATGCAAGAGAACCTAGGTTTAATTCCTAGCTCAAAAAAACAAATTTAAAAGAACATAATCTCGCCGGCAGTGGTGGCGCACGCCTTTAATCCCAGCACTCGCAGGAGGCAGAGGCAGGCGGATCTCTGTGAGTTCGAGACCAGCCTGGTCTACAAGAGCTAGTTCCAGGACAGGCTCCAAAACCACGGAGAAACCCTGTCTCGAAAAACCAAAAAAAAAAAAAAAAAAAAGAACATAATCTCTCTAGTTTGCCCAATACTGTTTCTTAACCACTGCCAGTAGCACTCCTTTACATTTAGTTTGGTCTACAGCTAAGAGAAATAACATAGCAATTATGAACAAAGCCCTCACAAAGCCAAACAGGAAGAAAAAGGTTGTTTATGGTTTTTGTTTTGTTTTATAAATACAACATGTTACTTACGCCTTATTATTCTCTATTCAGGCTGTTTCCATGAGTACAACTCATCTTACTCAAAGGATCAACCCCAGCCTATGTCTTGGGAGCTACAGGGTTTAGAAAGTCACCTTTTGAAGTTCTTTAGACTCTCAGGCTTGAGCTTTTCTCCCCCATGTATGGTGCCGAGCATGTTAGCCTATAATTCACTACCTTCCTGAGTAACCTCGCTCACAGCCAACCATACCTATCTTTTCTTTCTGAAGTATGCTCGTGAAGTCATTTCCTTAGATCATGTATGTTTCTGGAGTCATGTCTTCTTCCCAAGGGCTTTGTAGCCTCCTTGTTGAAACGACTACTATGGCATCATCGAATGTACACTGTCTAATTTCTGTAATGATAAATACCTATGCTGTTAATATGAGCCACTAGCAATCGTGAGCTGCGGACAGTCTCAGTAATGTACACTAGATCAGTACTCCATGAAGCAGCTAGTCACCACGGAAGAGTGTAACCATCTCTAAAACCATACTAAGTATGGTTTCATTCATAAGTATATCTTAACTATTCCTTCTAGATACTGTGACTTGTTAATTTTGAAAAGGCAGCTTTGCATGTGAAATAATAGGCTTCTGTGTAAAGCAAACTACCCAGGCATGCCTGGCAACTGGGAGGAAAAGGCAGGACCACTGTGCCAAGTTTGAGAAGAGCTTGACCTACAAACACCGCAACACCTTATCTCCATCAATAATGAAACAAGGCTGCTATTAAATTGTAAGTGAAATTTAGCACAGTTTCTGGAATGCAAGATTTGTTCCTTCAAAGAGCACATGAAATAGTCTTTTTTTTTTTTAAGTATAATAATTATGGGGGAAGGAAAAAAGTTTACTGTATCTTCCCTTGGGTTAGTCATATGATTTCTCTTGCTTCCCAAGTTTAAATATGCTTAACTTTTAGAACTGCAAAGACAAAATATATTTTGTACACAATTGCCTATTTTTACAAGTAATATTAGCAAAAGTAAAGGCTTTGAGATACAAAACTATCTGTCTACATTCTCTTTTAATGAGTAATTCAGTTGATCAAAGTAAAAACACAACCTTAAATATAATTGCTAAATTAGATTCCTTAGGTATACAGATGGTATAATCAACTAAAGTAACTGAAAATTCAGTGATGCAACCATGTTACTTGGTAAATACAGACTGTTTACTGTGCTTGAAATGGTTCCAGGACTGAACTCCTAACACTCTAACTATACATGTGTTTAACTGTTTCTATCACAAAAGGATCCTGAACTCTTCCCTCTGCTACATAGTCAAATCCTCTTTTTAAACTAGTAGAAATGGGCAACTAAGCAGTAAATGCTTACTCTACTGCTACAAGTCTACAAACCCTGTTAAGAAGGCAGATATGACAGGAACTGTAAAGAACATTAAACCTAGGGGAACTGAGCCCTTCCTAGCTCAGACCCCAGAGGAAAACGATTAAGATTCAGTCCAATTAAAGTTAACAAACCATTAAAAAATATTTAAAATTTTACAATTTGCTCTACCAGGTACATGGTTTTAAAGAATATTCTTATTTATTGTATGTAAAATATGTGTCTACATATGTTTGTATACACATATTAAAATCCAAACTCAGTTAAGAGCCAGAAGGGTCTAGAAATTTGACCCCAGCAGGATAATAAAAATTTAGAAACACATTTGAGCTATAGTAAAATTAATTTTTTACACTGACAGAATTATACAATGCTCCAAATATATTTGTGACTAGATCTATAAATTCGTAACATAAAATATTTTCAGTTTCAATCAACATAAATTATATGGAGTATTGTAAAACAGGGTAACTGGTTAAATACTGAACCCATACATAATGATATATAAATTCAAATATATGAAAAATTCTGTCATGTCCATAATGGAAGGCCTTTTTAATTTCTAATATATAGATGGAGTTGGGAAGAACCCAGGAACACAATAAAAGTATAAAGGTAAGTCTTAAAACTTAGAATCAACATATACAAAGAGGGGGGAAAACAAATATTACTTATTCAACTTTGAAGAATAATTTATTTGAAAAAACTGCATCTGTGAGCACTTGATCTCTACCTTCAAAATCCCTCAACCATGTAACTTTGTATTTTTTTTTGGGGGGGGGGGGGGGGATTTTTCGAGACAGGGTTTCTTTGTAGCTTTTGATTCCCGTCCTGGAACTAGCTCTTATAGACCAGGCTGGCCTCGAACTCACAGAGATCCGCCTGCCTCTGCCTCCCAAGTGCTGGGATTAAAGGCGTGCGCCACCACCGCCCGGCTTAACTTTGTATTCTTAAAATACGCATTTCTAGTGAATTCTCCACACTGCATCTTGACACCAAAGTAACAGTACCCAAACCTTCAGCTATAGGAGCATCGACTTCTTTAAATAGAAGCCTGTAGGAATTCCCTTTACTTTTTGGCTTTACAGACACTGAACACACAGGTGAAGACAAGGAGAGGACCTGAATGGATCTTGAATATCATGGTTATAGTGTAACAACACTACTTCCCATCAACTCCCTCTTCTATCTGCAATATTTCCCATGTGAGCCAAAAATAAAATGATTTCGTCTAAAACAGATGAAAATGTATTAGCATAATTCAACAATAATGAAAAAAATGATTGGGTTCTGAATGGGTTTTTTACTTGTAATATGAAATAAGCCATTATCATCCAAAAAATGAAGATCCTTCTTACAGAACAAACACTACAGAAATTTTAACAGAACAGTAGAAACTATGTCATTCATCAGACACCTCAACACATTCAAACAGGATCAAGTACTCAATGTCCACAACGCCAAACCTGGGATTGCACACAAGCTCATGTTACCCTAAATGGCAATACCACCCACACATTAGTCACTTTTTAAAATACACAATCAAAGCATCTATTTTAAAACACTACTCTTTAAGTTGAGGACTTTATTCTACTCAGCAAGGTGTCTGTCTTCCAAAGCAGCTTCTCACATTCCAGAAATACAAACTCATGGTAAGTTCAGTGACCACTGCTGGCCTATTTATGTCACTCTAGCCCACTAAATCTAATTCCACAGAATGTGTTCTTGACTGTGTAAAAATCTAATGTTTCTTGATAAAACACTATAATTCTCTTCTCCAATGGTTACAATTATTTTTTTAAAAAGTATGCAATAAATTTAGTGTTACTGCCATGAAAGGACAAAAAGATGTAATTCTGTTCCAAAATTAACTTAGTCTCATAGATTTCTATTAAGTCTTTCAAGCATTCCAGAGAATCTTTTCATATCTCCGTTTCTGGAAAGTGTAATCAGTATAGAAGTAATTTGGGAACTTGGAAATGGCATTCATGTTTTGCAGCAGATGCCAAATTTTTGACCGACATGGCTCCCACAATTACTGTTACCATCAGTCCAGTCAGTTAACAGGTTGTAGGAAAAGATTCGTTTTTGCAGATACTGCTAAGCTGTTTAAAGAGAAGAGAAAGAGATTAATTTAGCGAGTATAAAACGCACAGATATTTAAAATATTTTGAATACTTTGTTGGATATATCAGAGGTCTGACTATATTTTTAACAAACATGTACTTTTTAGTTAAGCCTGCTTAAAAAAGGTTAAAACTTAAATTACCATTATAGAAATACTATGCCAATATGTGTTAGTTAATTCATGTATGAATACTGACCTCCAGAGGAAGACAGGGATTAAAAAGCTACATCTTTAGGTCTTCTACCATTTTTACCACACAGGTACAAATCAGAAATCAAACTCGAAATAGTTTCCCAAATACTAATTTGTTCTCAACCATCACATTTAATACAACGGAACCTGAAAATTTCAATCTATTTTATATTCCAGAACTCTCTATCAAAATACTAATTATTCACAACACAATTTCTAAAAATAGTAAGACAACAGTTTTATATTAATCATAATTTTTAATTAACAAGTAGTGAACAGGACACTTTAAGATACTGTTTACTACACAATGAAATTAAACAACTGTTGTAAATTGAGAAATCCAAACATTTACAGAAAAATGTGCTTACACATAAATATGATAAAATTTATTTAAAGCCCCTGGTCAGTCCTAAATACATGCAGTTACCAAGTAAAAACATGACTATGAGTTGATGCAAAAAAACAAAAACAAAAACAAAAACGACAAAAACCGTTGTCACCCAAACTAGGAAAGAAACAATGAAATGGAACTAGAAAAGACAGTTACTAAAACACGTGGACCCTAACAAAGCAACTCTAAAATCAGGCATTCTAATCTTGCCACTGTCAAGAGCTCTAATTCCCCAAGCTGCCATTTATAAAATGACATTCTCCAGTCTGTACTGGAATTTCAAAACAGAAACTGATCTCCCAAACCCACAACTTGAATGCAGGAAAAGCAGATGTTAAGAAAACAGTCCACGGAAATGGTGTAATTCTTAGGAAAACAAGCTTACTGCTTCCAGAATCTTTTGACTAAGATCACAGTCTGTATTACCAGGAATCATTTTCCCTATTTTCATCCACTACTTCCCAATGTCATGCTAAAGATGAATAAATTCTTTGAGCCCATAACTGAAAGATCAACAAACCTGATTTTATTATGACACCATATTTTTGTCATTGGTACTGCACAAAATTATATACAAAGAAATATATACAAAAATGTTCAAGTATTAAATTTCAATTCAAGGCTTCTGTTTCAAAAGCTACATTTAACATATTTCAGAAGGAGCACAAATTAGTCATTTCAAATAATTTTCCAACTACTTTTGGTTTATCTCTATGTATATATATATAATTCAGTAGGCACTAAAATCCATGCAGCTGCATTGTGGGGGCTTGTTCCTGCCCTTGAAGAAGCAGGTCCATCACTCCAAGTTGTGAGAGATTGGCTACTACCCATTCATGCTCAAGTGCAGTGGATAACTTTACAAAATGTGATATACTGAAAACCAGAGACTAATTTAAGTCTCAAATCATATCATCTAGCAATAAAACAGTTACAGTTAGTTGTGCAAGAACAAGATTCCATTTCCATAAACAAATAACAAAAGAAAACATCTTACGTGTAAGATAACTTACATCTTTGGACTGCTGGAAAATACTTAATTATGAACATTTAAAAAATAAAAGACAGCAGAAGCCCTGATATTACCTCTTCTTCCTTATTTCTTATACTACCTTTTAAAATAAAGCAGGAAATGTGGCCAGCAGCTGGTCCCGTCTCTTCTGCCCCAACAGCTGTATCCACTTTAGCACAAAGAAAAACAAGGATGCTAAATACGTATATCCTTTATCAAACAGTGATGTTTCACAAAGAATTTAATGTCTCTTGCACGTTAGGACATGATAACACAGATTTAGACAAGTGGACAATAAACAGTATTTCAAGGGAAGAATACTTTCCATCTTTGGAAAAAAAACAGTATAAATATTAAGTGGCCAAAACTATTTAATTTTAAAAAGTGAAAAATTTTATAAGGAAAATAAGATTCTTTGTGAAGCCTCACTTTACATGTTTTCATTCACATTTCATAACCTTCAATATCTATCTAATCATACACAAATTTAGCCTAAATTTTAATACAACAAAAATAAATGCTTCCAACAATTTCTTCATACTCAGTGATAGATAATTACTGTGCTGGTCCTCAGGCATTTCACTAATCATTCTCCCAGAAATCTGAAGGGTAGGTTAATTTCCAACTTAAGTAATGAAATATTAGGATCTTATATAGATTGTATTTGTTTTCTACTGTAAACTAGAAGGCATTCTTAAGTATTTTAAGAGATTTGTTATCTCCAGAAAAATACATTTGTGCATGCCTCAAATACTTATGTCAACCTTTGAAGTTGCTCTACAATTGGAATTCCAATTTGCACCGGGTACAACTCGGAAGTTCCATTCACTTCACCTGTTTCACTGTCTCCAAACTGTATCTCTATTAGCAGGTTTCAGTGTACAGTTGGAACCGATGTCCTCCAAGGCCATGTCCACACTGGGGACAGAAGAGCTAGGGACACGCAACTCTGAACAAGGGGACACATTTAACAGCTATTTCAACCAGAAGCAACTTTAAGTACATCGTTGACCAGCACAAGTCTGTTTCCAGGGTGGACAGGGCCCAAATGAAGATTCCCCTCCCACCTTTCAATAAAAAAAGAAACAAACGAAAAATATCTCACACACACACACACACACACACAAATTGAGATGTTGCCCAGTAAAGCAGACTAAGCAGCAGAGCATGAGCGTTACGTGAAGAGATGGATCCTTACCAGGTTGGGAGGCGGGAACGACTGTTCTGTAACCCCTACAACGGAGCCTGGCAGGAAGGAAATCACCTAAAAAAGAAACTGTCAGAGAGATTTAATAGTCACAGGTTATCATTAGGAGTTGGTTACAGTGTCACATTCATGCGTTTTAGCTAAACACTTAAAAGATTTAATATTACTTTTTTTTTTCCGCCTCTGAAATGTGTCCGGTGAAGATGTCCCACTAAGGTGTTTGACATGGTGTAAGGGAGCAGAAGGGGGTAACCGCGGGTAAAGAGCAGATTACTTGACCCTACATTTTAAGAGAAGACGACGCCTTCCGAGCGCACGCCGAGCAGAACTCCACCGACACCTTATCCTTGTCCACATGGAGACACACTCCTCCCGCCGCGTCGTCCTCTTCCGGCAGCTCCGGCGGCTGCTTCCCCACCGGCAGGGCGTAGTCGTGGTCACCGGCGGGCGAGTCCCTGAAGAGCGAGGTGGTCAGGCGCAGTCCCACGCCGCTCAGCCGGCTCAGCAGGCGAGCCAGTCCCGTCTCGTTGGCGAGGACGGCCCGTAAGTAGCGACTCTCCTCCTGCAGTGCTTGCACGCGTCTGCCCAGCTCCCGGTTCTCGGCCCGCAGCTCCTGGTTCTCGGCGGCCAGTCCCCGGACTCGACTCTCCAGCCCCATCACGTACTCCTTCTTCTTGAGCCGATTGAGACGGGCCGCGGCCGCCGCCGCCTTCCGGGGACTCTTGGTCGCCGCTTGGTTGTTGTCGTTGGTGGTGGCGCCGTCGGTGCCTCCTCCCGGGGACTTTCTCCGCCTCTTTTCCGCGTTGCCGCGATCGCCACCGGCGCCGCCGGCGCCGCTGCAGCCTCCGATGCCGTTCAGCAGCCTCTGCAGCAGGTCAGAAAAGCGTTGCATCTCCGCGGCCGCGCTCTCGTCGTCGTCGTCCCCCCGCAAGAGGCCGCCGCTCTCCGAGCCTCCGCCGGACGAGGACAGGGGCCCGGGCGAGCTGAGCCCGGGCTCGAGGTGCCAGTCCGGTTGCCGAGGGTCCAGCAGATCGGCCAGTTCCAGCCCAGAGAGAAAGTCCATGTCCTCCGGCTCTTCTTTGGGGACCATGGCGTTCGCGTCCTCCTCGTCCTCCTCCATCTTCCCTGGCGGGGACGAGGGCGCGGGCGCGCGCACGGCCACGCCGCCGCGGCTCCCCCTCCGGGCCGCCTCCGACTCGCCCCCGTCGCCCGGCGGCGGCCGGCGCTCAGGCGGTCCCGAGCCCGCCGAGGTCTCTGCCCCCGCGGCCTCCGCGCTCGGGTCCTGCCGGCCGGCGCGGACACTCGACGAGTCGCGGCCCGAGGCTGCCAGCAGCTTGGTCAGGCTGTGCCTCATGGGGCCGGGCGGCAGGCCCGGCTAGGCCGCAGCCCCGCCGACCCCGGGCCACCCCCGCGCCGCCGCGCGCACAGCCACGGCGCGGAACGAACCGCAGGCACCGGGAAGGTCCGAGTCGCCTCCCGCGGCCGCCCAACCCCCCGCGCGGGGCGGGGGGACGGCCGTGGAAGCGAGGAGCGGCGACACCCGAGGAGACCCGGCCCCGCCACCCCGACAGCGGCCCGGCCGGAAGTTACCCTCGCTCCCCGCCCCGCCCACCGCAGTACGCGCCGCCAGCCGTGGTCTCGCGACGTTGCGGGTGCTTTCGAGGGGCGGGATTTCGAGGTCCGCGGTGATGTCATAGTAACAGCGGCAAAAACAATGGAACCTGGGTTTACTCACGCTCCCTAATCCATCAGTATTACCCAGTACCAAACTCGACAATCCCAACACTTAACCTCTAGACATATTTGTCGTACCTATATAAAAAAAATTTTTTTGAGAACACTTTATTTTTGCTGTTTCTCCCTAAATTGCAAGCAAAACAACACGCGAGGAAAGAGCCACGACTAAAACAAAAGATTAAATGGTGTTACCAACCTCAGAACAACTTACTCACGTAATAGCTCTCTGAGCGACATTCAGAAGTCCTTAGTGTCAGATAATCTTTCATACTACAACCACAGCTATTATTACTGTTGTTATCATTTTTATCAGCGTCATTATTTGTTTTTGCCACGGACTCGCAGCATTGGCTGGTTTGCTGGGACTGAGTGGCTTGTTTGTTTTACTGGTCTGTTGTTTTGCTGTTTGTTTTGTGCATGTTTTTTGGTATTGTTTTCTTCATTTGTCAAACTAGCAATTTCTTATGCTTTTTCAAATGCTGGCTTTTTGAGAAGACCAAGTCAGCTGTCTTGAAGAAAACACCACATTCCCAATCTGTGGTTCTGGCTTGTCTATGCTATTTCTCTAGTTTCCTAAGGGATTTGGGATTTGAAGTGTTTACAAAAGCCCTACAGTATAATGAAACCATAGCTCAGGTTTGCCAAAGAGAAGCTTGCATTAAAGAAGGAGAAGACACGCGCGCGCGTGCGCGCGCGCGCACACACACACACACACACACACACACACGAGAGAGAGAGAGAGAGAGAGAGAGAGAGAGAGAGAGAGAGAGAGAGAGAGAGAGAGAGAGAGAGAGGGGAGAGAGAGAGAGAGAGGGAGGGGGGGGAGAGAGAGAGAGAGAGAGAGGGAGAGAGAGGGGGAGGGGGGGGGGGAGGGGGAGGGGGAGGGGAGGGAGAGGGAGAGGGAGAGGGAGGAGAGGGAGAGGGAGAGGGAGAGGGAGAGAGACAGATAGAGACAGAGACAGAGAGAGACAGAGAGAGACAGAGAGATAGAGATAACAGAAATGTTACCTTCTAGGGTTCTTGGTCATGCTTGACTCTGCTAATTAAAGAATTAAAAGCAGGAAAAATGGAAACATAGCAAGCAGCAACGGGTAAATTTTATTACAAACAAAGCACAGACAGGTATTCTTGGTAGCCTAGGATCTGTCCCCACAGCTCCCATTTTGGGTTGGTCAATTTATGGAAAGAAAGAGGAGCTGACAGGCCTATAGCTTTGGGCAAACATGTTGCAGACCAGCTTCGACCAGTAAGCTTGAAAGTGTAGAAGGGCAAGCTGCTGGCCTGAAAAAGCATGCCAGGCCTTTGTCACAGGTAAGAGCTGTGAGGAAGAAGCCCGAAGTTGGCAGTCTTTATTATCATTTGCTGTTCCTTTTCCTGTCTGCCCGCCCGTCAGTTCGGTTCTGCCTCCTGGCTCTTTAAACACACTCCACTTGTTCACGTGTAAAGTCCTGTCAAGGCAAACTACCTGCACCTCAAAGGGAGTAAGAAGAGATGGTTTATTCTTGTGCTGAATAGACCGTGACCCAGGAACATGAGACTGAGGGTGCCCTGAATGACATGTTCCAATCTGGAAATAGTTCCAGACAAACAGAAAGGCACAAAGCAAGACATTTTTCAAATACGTTGGTGGAAACTTCAGGTAGGCAGATTACAGCAAAGTGAGGAAATCCCTCTTACTGTTCTCAGAGATCTTTGATAAAATTCCTAGCATTGGATTTGGGGGGGGGCGGAGCTACTGGTCTGTTAAATCAATACTTTCCAAACACTTTTACATAATAGTTGAAAGGATATAAGGTCAGGCAGAGAGGTGGTCAATGAATGGTAAGTCTGGTCAAAATAGCCCAAGGTAATTTCGCTCTGGAGTTTCAGCATCACAACACTGTGCAATCAAGTTGTGATCAATCTCTCAAACATGCGGAATCTTTAACATGGAGATGTGGTATTTCTTTCTGGAAAATGCAGTTCATAGTGCACATGGTGACTAGAATAAATCCATCTCCAAGCTGAACTGACATACCAATGGAGGACCCTGACTGACCCAGAATAGAAGACATACACTTCAACCCATGTCGCTCCGCCGCATGAATCTCGACAAAGATGTCAAAAATATGAATTAGAAAAAAAATAACCTCTTTTGAAAAAAGTGGTGCTAAGAAAACAGGTTATCAACATGTAAAAGAGCCGGCAGTGGTGGCGCACATCTTTTATCCCAGCACTTGGGAGGCAGAGGCAGGTGGACCTCTGTGAGTTAGAGGCCAGCCGGATCTACAAGAGTTAGGTTCCAGGACAGGCCCCAAAGCTACAGAGAAACCCTGTCTCAGAAAACCAAAAATAAAAATAAAAAAGAAAGAAAAAACATGTAAAAGAATGAAACTCTCATTCCTCGTGTGTACATAACTCAACTTGAAATGGATCAAAAGTCTTAAAAGTAAAACTTGAAACTCTGGAACCATTAGAGGACGAAGGAGGGGAAACACTCCAAGATACAGGCAAGGCCTTTCTGTGCAGGACCCCAGTTGTCCAGTGTACAGTCGTTCTGTGTGGGACCCCAGATGTTAAGTGTACGGTGGTTCTGTGTGGGACCCCAGATGTTAAGTGTACGGTGGTACAGTGTACAGTCATTCTGGGAAAGACCCCAGATGTTCAGGAAATGATTTGATAACAATTGATAAATGGGATGGCAGGAAATCAGAACATGTCTTCTTAACCAAGGAAGCAGTCTTGTGAAGAGACACCCTACAGAAACAGGGGAAGTCTGTTAGCTCTGTGTCTGACATAGGATTAACATCTAGAATACATTAAGAACTCATAAAGCTAAATAACAAGAAATAAAACAATTTGATCAATAAATGGGCTAATGAAATAGACGGGGGGTTCTCAAAAAAAGATGTGAAAATAGCCCAATAAACCTGTAAAACTATGCTCCATCTCAACAGCCATCAGAAAATGCAGACTGAAACTACAGCCGAAAATCTACTTCCTTCTTATCAGAAAGGCGGGCGCTAGAGCAGCACCAAGTGCTGGAAAGAGTATGAACCATTGGGAACCCGTATCTGCTGCTCGTGGGGATGCACTCTGGTCCGTCCATCGCGGAAATCTGTAAAGTAGCTCTGCCTTATGGACTAACCATCCCTGTGTCTTCACCAAAGGAAGCCAAGTAAGCCTATCACAGAAATATTTTCACATCTGTGCTCACGGAAGCACAGGTCACAATAGCTAAGTTATAGATCCAATCGGGGTGTGCCGCAGTGTAAGAATGGATAAAAGGTAATATATATAGAGACAGAATGGATCTTTTCTTCTTTCGTGCGTGCATAAGTGTGTGTGCTGAGACAGAGTTTCTCTATGTAACTTTCCTGGTCATCCTAGAACTTGCTTTGTTGTCCAAGGTGTTCCCAAACTCACAGAGATCCACCTGTCTCTGCTTTCTGAGTTCTGGGATTAAAGGGGTGCACCACCAACACCAGGGCAGAATGCAACTTTTGTAAGCCATAAGGAATAACAAAGTTTTGTCCTATAGGGGAATGGGAATGGCTAGGGCTAATATATTACGCAAAGAAAGCTAGTCTCCGGAAGATAAACATTACATGTTTTCTCTCATTTGTCGTGTCTAGATTTTATGTAGACACACAAAATCATAGACATACGTAAACAATTTACATACATACATACATACATACATACATACATGTGACATAAAGTGAATCTGTCCAGGAGAACAAAAGGGTCCAACAGAAGTAGAGCTGGGGAGATGGGAAATATGCTCGAAGAACACTATATACCTATATGAAAAAATAGTTTTTGTAATATATTATTATGCACAGTGGATACATAATGAAAACAAACATATAAAATCTAAGATCTAAGAAAATCTGAAATTCCATGAGAAAAGGTAATGCTACCCCAATCATTAAGTCTGAGAGAGAAATGCTCGCTGTGAGGAGACAGTCTTTGGTGTGCAGAATGACACTGGGACTTGCCATGTTCTTCTGGACATGTGTGAGCGCAGCCGCTTCCAGCTGAATGACCTGACCCAGATCTGTCAGGCCATGCTTAGCGTGCCCCCAAAATAGATCCTGCCTGCCTGGGTGGAGAAAGAGAAGTCTGCAGGCTTTAAATAATGTACACAGAAATGAAGCCTACTGGGAGTTAAGCAGACACATGGAAGGTTCTTTCATTTTGTGTTTAACGTTGCTGTCTTTCAAATAATTACGATGGTGTATGGCTCAAAAATCAAATGACGTGAAAAAAAATTGTCCATGTTGAGAAGGGTCATTTCAAATCTTCTTTCTGACAACTTCATTCCCTATGCCCCACAACACCACTAACAAGTCCTTTCCCTAGCGTTTTTCAACATTCATTTGTATTTCTAGACATAAATTTTACTCACAATCTCTTCTCCTCTTTTGCCCAGGACCAGAGAAAGAGCATATATTATATTGTTTACATACATCCTGAAGATACTGTTGTGTAATAGATAATCAACTATTTCTCCATGGTTGTGCCGAATTACAAAGGGAAATGTTAACTGGGTGTTCTTCAATGCTGCGAGCCATTTCTAATCTCCTGCTATTAGAATGATATAATAAATATATAATCTTGTGTTAGCGTTCCATAACTAAAGCAAATACTGACAGTTGACAAGTGGAAGAAGATTGCTTTGGCTTATTGCTTTGCAGTTTTAGCCCATGATTAATTAGTTCCCTTGCTTTGGGGCCTGGGAGGGCATCATGTCTGGAGCAGAGAGTAGAACAAGACCGCCCACCTCATGGTCAGAGAGCAAAGAAAGTAGAAAGGATCCGAGTCTCTCAGTCCTCTTCAGCAGCAAGTGACCTAAAGACCTTCCATTAAGCCCCAACTCTTAACACTTCCCAGTGATGTTCCCTCCAGGACCATTAGCATGTGGGCATGTGGACACTTAGGATCCAAACTGTGTCAAACCTTTAACATGAAAGAGAAAATTATTGTAGATGAGTACAGAGAAGAATGGATCAGAACGTGGATGAGAACAACTTGGCAGCTAGCAAAGGCCAGCGTTCCCTTGTGGACCTGGGGAGTTGGGGCTTGCGGGATATTATAGTTCATTAGATGTGTAGTGAATGACAGGGCTGACATGGTCCAAGGGGATGTTTTTCTTCATATGTTTTCCGAGTGAAAAGGGCTTGGTTCTTGATATATTTTTTTTTCCCCAAGTGACACGCACATCAGGTACTGGAACTCACCTGTGCAGCCCAGGCCACACACATCAGGTACTGGAGGTCCCCTGTGCAGCCTGGGTCACACGCGTCAGGCACTTGAAACTCCCCTGTACAGTCTGGGCCATTAGGCTTGACAGGTTTTTAGCATTTAGACGATAACATCGATTTGTTCTTAGGAGGATGGAAAATAATTGCAAAAGCCTATTCTTAGCCCGTGTTCCACATTCTGAGCAATGTTTCCAAGACTCATGATTGAACTTCTTTAAAAAGTACTCCCTAGGGCCTGGAGAGATGGCTCAGCAGTTAGGAACTCGGTGTTCTTCCAGAGGACTCAAGTTCAATTCCCAGCACCTGCATGGAAACTCACAACTATCTGCAACTCTAAGATCTGTACACCCTCACACAGATGCACATGCAGGCAAAAGACCAATGCACAAAAAATAAAGTTTTTTTAAAAGAGAGAGAGAGAGAGAGAGGAGATGAAAAAGCACCCACTCCCCACCTGACATGGACTTGGGAACTAAGTAGATAAAGCAATGCCGACACCTAGTGACCCATTAAACACTCATGCCCCTTCCTTCTAGTTCTCCCCCATCGCACAGCAGAGATTGACCGCTTTCCCATCACAGTGGTGGAGCCTGGTTCGTCTAAATCATCCATGGCAACCTGCCCTCTGAAAACACTAGGCTGAAGTATTTCCAGAGTTTGGGACAAAGGATGCTGGAAGAGACACCATCTGGCTGGGTAGCCTAGGTTTTAGGGACAGAAGTCCAAGTTACAGTCCTCTTTCCTGGTGGCCTAACAGGCAAGGTTTCAAAGTTCTGCTCAGTCTCATAGTGGGGAGGGAAATCAATTCGTAATTCGTAAATTTATCTGGCCAGTGCCCTGACCCAGCCAGCCACAGCTACTCCATAGGTGTCTTGGTAGAAGTAGGACTTGATAGAATCACAGGCACGGGTGCCAGGGCTCCTTTCAAGTCTTTAAATCATTTTTTAAAAACTTCAATAGAACAGCGCTGTTTTCCACCCATCCCTTACTAGGAACTAGCCTGAATTCATTTTCACTCCCCGAAGCAGGCACAGTGCTCTGAAAACACGGCAGATCCCCTGTCCATCAGTGTTTCTCTTTGCAAATTCTCATCCATCTTTCGGACTAGACTCTTTCCTTCAGGGCACACCAAGGGCTTACGAGTTTGTGCTCTTCCACGCGTAGTTCTGCAATGCAGCAGACACAGCGTTTAGTTTTAGGGTCTCCACTCGGCTGCCATTCATTTTAGGGTTACTGACGGTGAGTGTGAAGATTCAGTCTGCTTTAGAAGAGTTTTGTTGCTGTTTTGCTTTTACATTTTTCCCTCTCAAGGTAATAGCTTAGAATAAGCCAACTGACATGTTGTCGGTTTGGTCCGATGACACAATTGGAATTGGAACCTACACGTTCCAATGATAACTATTACTTTATAGAGGAGAACACTCTATCCTGGATGCTCATTCTTGAGTGGTCAGAAGTTAAATACAAAGTGTCGAGCATGCAAGAAATACCCTCCCCCTGTGTGCGTGGGCATGCTCGCGTGTGCGTGCCGTGTGTTTCAAGGGTAGTTTATATAATGGGAAGAAGCATATGAATTTTAGAGTCTGAAAACAGACTTGTTTACTTAATTGGCAATGCCCTGCACAAAAATAGAAGTGTGACATCCTTCATTAAAACATTAATTGAGGGGGATGGAGAGATGGCTCAGTGGTTAAGAGCACTGACTGCTCTTCCAGAGGACTTGGGTTCAATTCCCAGCACCCACATGGCCGCTCACAACTGTCTGAAAATGCAGTTCCACGAGATCTGACACTTTCACACCAATGCACATAAAATAAAGTTAAATAAACCATTAAAAAATTTTTAAAAAACATTAATTGCTTGACAGTGACTATAAAGGATTAAAGCAAGTCAGGGAATTCCATGGCACCCTGGCCAAGAGCCTTCAGTTTAGATCTCACTTCTGCTTTTCCAGAGCATCGTGACTTTAGACAAACTACCTTCTAAAGAGGCTCACTGTTTCATTCACAGAACAGGGACAACACATCCTCTCTTGAGTTGTCGCAGGGTGGAATGAAAAGTGTTTGACACACTGAGGGATGGAGAGAGGACTGGAGCAATGGTTGCTCTTGCTAAGGATCCTGGTTCAGTTCCCAGCACCCACAAGGTAGCTCACAACCATTTATGACTCCAGCTGCAGAGAATCTGATGCTGCCTTCTAACCCCCTTGAACAAAGGCATGCAGACAAAGAACTCGCAAACACACACTCACACACACACATGCAGACAAAGCACTCGCTTGCACACACATGCAGACAAAGCACTTGCACACACACGCAGACAAAGCACTCGTGTGCACACATGCAGACAAAGCACTTGCACACACACACACAAAGCACTCGCGCGCACACTTGCAGATAAAGCACTCACACACAAAAAGTATAAACACATCTGTAAATAAAATTCTTTGATATACAACAATCACACTTTCTCATTCTTCATTTACAGGGTGACATTGTTTACATGGGGAATTCAAGGGCAACCTGGGTGGGCTAAGTTTCTTTGTCTCTGGGAAGGAAGGAAGGAAGGAAGGAAGGGAGGGAGGGAGGGAGGGAGGGAGGGAGGGAGGAAGGAATCAAGGAAGGAAGAAAGGGAAAGTAACAAGCAAAAAGAAAGCCTGCAAGTAATAATTTTTTAGTAAATAAAACTTGCTATATAACTATTGGTGTTCTTGGAGCAAATGAATGAGAAAAATTACTATACTATAGTCTACCTTACAGGTATTCATAATTTCATATATAAAATGATTAAAATGGGGGATATGGGAAATAAATTATATTTTGGTAATTAACTTGAAGACTTTACTTCTTTAAGAACATTAAGAAGTCTATATTTAATTGCCATGTTAAATAGCTATTCCTACCAAATTCCTAAGTATGTATATGTGTACGTATTTATGTACATTCAGCTTGGACTTCTGAAATGCAAATTCAATTACAAGAAATGTATTGACAGAAAGCAGTATATAAGTTACTGGAAAAACAAACACAGTCTGCTATGACTGGTTCCCTAACCTGAGGTGCTTTTGCCCATTAGCATACTGAAAAATAGAAGAAGAAACCACTGGGAGTCTCAGTACAGCACACCCAAATCCTACCTGTGACTCAGGAGAAAAACCGAGAAAGTGGGAGTGAGCTACACTTGCAGGAAATGTTAAAATCAATGACTCGGTGAACTTGAATCTCAATGCTCAATAGAATGAGTCTAACGGAGCTGGCTTTTATATTTTGGTAAGCCAGCGAGCGATCAAACTTTTGGTTTGCCAAGCTAAAACGAAATCAGATCAAATCAGACTCTCTTCATTGCTAATCGGGCTAAGGTCTGTTTATGATCTTAGCTACAGTGCTACAGTAGGCCTAACTCTCTGCAACGGTCAATGGGGCTACGTGTTCCTTTTTTCACAATAGCACATTCATTTCGGGATCCTTGAAATCATAAATCTTAAGCAATAGGAAGACATCTGAGGTTGAAGATGAGTAAGTTGTGAGGTAGAAGAAACAGATAATCTTAAGAAAACTTCGGGGCTGGAGAGATGGCTCAGAGGTTAAGAGCACTGACTGTTCTTCTGAAGGTCCTGAGATCAATTCCCAGCACATGGTGGCTCACAACCTTCTGTAATGAGATCTGATGCCCTCTTTTGGCCTGCAGGTGTACATGCAGACAGAATATTATATACATAATAAATAATAAAGAAAACAAACAAAAAAAGAAAATTTCAAAGGCACAGTGGGGACTCTGGTTAATCTTAAATGTATTCTAGCTGGTCGAACTGAACATTAATAATAATTTTACAACAGCAACAACAACAGTGTCATAGTAAAGTGGTTTTGTACTTAAAAGTATAGTAAATGAATTATCTTTGCTTTTGCCATAAAGCTACGGCACAATATCTGAAGTATTAACCCCAGGCAACGGGAGGCAGAATTTCCCTTATGGGAAGAGATGGCGGAGTTTGGCGTTAAGTTCTCTCTCCTTGCTTAAAAGATCCAGGCTGTGCTTTTTGAAGGCCTCTGATTGGAGACGGAGCTCGTCATAAGCTTTTTGGATCCCGTCTACCTTGCGCTGAAGCTCTCGAACCCTCAAGTTACTGTCAACGGCCACTGCCTCCTGCTCGAAGCGTTCGAGTGCCTGCTTCTTGGCCATGGCTGCCGTCTCCAGCTTCTCCTCAAGCTGGCGGATCTCCGCTTGCTTGTTCTGGAGAACCTTGCCCCTCTCCATGGACAGCTGCAGCAGCTCCTCTTTCTCGCGTATGACAGTCTGCAGCCTAGCCTGCAGCTCCTGGCTCAGGCTGCTGTGAGCCTCCTGGTCCTTCGCCATCTGTTCGGTGGCCTGCCGGTGTTGCTGCTTGAGGCTCTGCAGCTGGCTGAGCAGCTGCTCTCTCTCCTCGGCATGGGCACAGGCCTGCTGGTTCTGCAGGCCCAGCAGCTCCTTCTCTCGGGCCTGAGCCTGGCTGGCATCGTGGGCACATCTCTGTTTCAAGACCTGCAGTTCCTCCACCAAGGCCTTGTTGTGTGCGGTGAGCTGCAGTACCTTGGCCTCCTGGTCTTTCAGAGCCTTACTGAAGAGGCTGCTATTCTCCCGCTTCAGCTTCTCGTTCTCCTCCTTCAGTCTGATGTTTTCATTCTTGTGCTCGTCCTTGAAGCGAATCATCAGCTCGTGGTTGGCTGCGAGGGTCATAAAGCGACCCTCCAGCTTTTGGACGTGCTCACTCTGGACCTTCATCTTCTCTATCTCCTGCATCCTCTTCTCCTCCAGCTCAGTGTTGAGCAGTTCCAGGATCTGGCAGCGTTCCAGAGCCTCATCGGATCTGCGCTTCAGGATGCAGATGAGCTGGGACTGCTCTTGGATGCGGGAGCGGAGCATTGCCTTCTCGCCCTTCTCTTCCTCAGACAGTCCCCTAAGGTTGGCCAAAGCTTCTCTCAGACCGTCCATTTCCTTAAACCCCAGTTCCTCATCCTGGCTTTGCAGATTTTCGTTTTGCTTCCCTAGGGGCTCGCCGGGGGGTGGGGTATCCATCCTAAGCGTCTTCCCGTCCTGAGGCATAGACGCTCGGCCTGAAAGCTGACTGCAGTCTCCCCCCCCCCCCCTTTGATTTCAAAAGGGCGTTGCTATGGACTCTTCGCACGCTCCAGCAGTTGGTTTTTCCAGTAAGGAGTCCTGTAATTGGTGGGCAGACCTTCAGAATGCAGTGAGGTAACAGGGGGCTTCCAGAGCCAATCTGGTCAGGCAACGCCCACCCTGTTCTTACCCAATCACGGCTCTCAGCTCCCTGCCAGGGTTCTGCCTGTGCAACCCGAGAAGCAACCACAAAGTCGGCTTTTTATGCACAAGGGGCCCTGACCCCGCCTGATTTCTGGTAAGAGTAAACAAAGCAAGCTCCCAGAGACCTAGGCCTCCTCTTGGTCCTGAAAAGACACCGCACTGCTGTCTGTAGAGGCACACTTGCCCTGTTCAACAAAGGACAGTCTGAACCCAAGTGCTCAGCTCAGCTGTTTTAACAGAAATTTCTTTTGTTTCTTTAGTGTGTCTGGGAACCGATACCCTTAGACACTCAGCACTCCTGTTTTTCTCTATTCGGAAAATAAATTTACAGGAGACACAATGAACAATAGAGATGCGATCAAATCCGCAAAGAAGAAAAAGAAATGATAGTTCCACGTGTGCATAGCACCCTGGAGAAAGCGAGATAAATATGTTGAACAGAGGCCAACGGTAAAAATCGAATGCCTTTAATTAGCTTGTCAGATACCACCGACATTTTAATATAAAGCTTATAGGGATTATTAGAACATCATGTTAAAAGAAAAATAAGCAATTTCATTAAAACACAGAATAAGTCAGCTGTATTGTGAGCCTGGAATTGCCCTTGTCAGAAGCCCTTGGTCTCAAATCTTAGAGATTATTTTCCATATCACAAATTTCTTGTCTATACACGGACTGCAAGGCTGAGGACTATGAACTTTCCTAATTTGGATGTTTCAGACTTTAAAACTTTTTTAATTGATAAAAGTATAAATACTGTACATATTAGAAGGGTACTGTATAATATTTCATATATATAGATACACACACACTTTTGATCAGATTAAAAGGGTACTGAACAATATTTCATATATATATATATACACACACTTCCAATCAGATTAAAAGGGTATGTACAATATTTCATATATATGCATATACATACATACTTCCGATCAGACTAAAAGGGTACTGTACAATATTTTATATATATGTATACACACACACTTTGGATCAGCTACACACACACATTTCCGATCAGATTAAATATGTCTCCTCACATTTTTACTTTTATCACTTTCTTTCTTTCTTCTTTTTTTTTTGTGTTTTTGTTTTTGTTTTTTGAGACAGAATTTCTCTGTGGCTTTGGAGCCTGTCCTGGAACTAGCTTTTGTAGACCAGGCTGGCCTGGAACTCACAGAGATCCGCCTCCCTCTGCCTCCCGAGTGCTGGGATTAAAGATGTGTGCCACCACCAACCGGCCCTTTCTTTCTTCTTCCTCCCTCCCTCCCTCCCTCCCTCCCTCCCTTCCTTCCTTTCTTTCTCCCCCTCCCTCCCTTTGTTCCTTCCTTCCTTCGTTCCTTCCTTTTTTTCTTTCTTACTTTTTTTTTCTTTGGTTGTTGGTTTTGAGACAGGGTTTCTCTGTGTAACAGCCCTGGCTGTCTTGGAACTCACTTTGTACACCAGGCTGGCCTCCATCACAGAGCTCC